AAACAAGGTCCGGCCCTGGACCGGTTTGGAACCGATTATAGGCCCGGCCCAGGACCGGTTTGTAACCGACTTTTTTTCAAAAGAAATGTATTTTTATATGTATTTCTAGTTTTCTAAGTGTATTTGATAGAAAATGAAATTACAAATTTTCAATCAAACATATTTTTTTAAGTGTATTTGATTGAAAAACAATTATAAAACTAAAATAAAACATAATTTTTAAATGTATTTGATTGAAAACCAATTATAAAACTACAATAAAACGTATTTTTTAAGAATATTTCATTGACCTAATTAGATATTTTAAAATATATGAGAAGAACATCAAAAAGAAATTTAAAAAATATATAAAAAGAAAAAATATTTTTTTAATATTGGATCGGTTTGGGCCTGGCCCGGCCCAGAATCGGGACTGATTACAAGTACCCTTAACCGGGCCTTAGTAATTTCGACGGGACCAGGACCGGTCCGAATTATTACTGTTTCAGCCTAGGACCAATTTGGGTCTGGCCCGAAACCGATTTTTGACCATGTCAAATTGTCAATGAAGATAGAGAGAGATACTTTTTTGGGGCGACTCTACCATTAAGATGAAAGTTTTCATTTAATCACGTAAAAATATAATAATCAGAGCATTTCCTATAGAATTTCTATATATTCTCTAAAATATAGTATTAAAAGTTGGAGTTTTCTCAAATTTAAAGAACAATATAGAGAATGTCTTAAAGAAAACGATAATGTTTTTATATTTGAATAAAATATAAATTTGAAGACAAATAAAAATTTCTATCGATATCAAATTAACTATTTAAAATTCTCGTTTTTTGTATGATTTTTTCAGTATTTTTAGTATAATTTAATTTAGGTTTAATAACGATGCAAATTATTTTAGATCTAACAATACAATACTTTTTATAAATATAATTTTTAGTTAAATATTTTTATTATAATTTTTTATTATAATTTAATTTGAGTTCAATAACGAATTAATTTATTTTAGGTTTAATGATATAACTTTTGTTATAAAAATAGTAACTAAGAATTCCGTTAGAAGTTAATGAATATCATAATTATATTTTAGGTTCTTTATATTTAAAATGAGATGTTTATTCTGTATTTAATTATTTTTATCAGTTAGTTACATGAATTCAAACATATAATTTTAAAAAGTTGTATTCATGTACCATTTACTTGTAATCTTAAATTTTAAGTAATATGTATCATTAAATAATACATGGTGCATTAATAATAATTTTTAAGAGTTTTATGCAAGTGCTTAATTACATAACAAGAAGAGTATTCGCAATATGCAGCGGATTACATCTCGATTTTGATGTTTCCTTTTATTCTTTATCTTTGTCAATATAATACGGTTTTATAAAGTTTTGAGAAAAGATAATGTTTTTATTTTTTAATAGAATATAAACTAGAAGATAAAAAATTTGAAATAACTATATCGATATCAGTATCAAATTAACTATTTAAAATTCTCGTTGTTTGTGAAATTTTTTTAATTCAATTTTTTATTATAATTTTATTTAAGTTCAATAATGAAGTAATTTATTTTTGGCTTAACAATATAATTTTTTTATAAAGATAATAATTAAGTATCCTGTCAGAACTCAATGGTTTTCATAATTACATTTTAAATTTTTTTATATTTAAAATGAGATGTTTATCATGTATTTAATTATATTTATCTGCAGTTAGTTACACAAATTCAAATATAGAGTTTTAATAAGTTATACCTACACACAATTACTTGTAATCTTGAATTTTAATTAATATATATCAATAAATAGTACTTCATGTACAAAAAATGATTTTTTTTATTAAATACTTTATAATACTAAAATTGTAAACCCAAAATGGTTATTTATGAATTACGAATTAACGTATAAGCCCAAATATACCATACAGCCAATGCCATCATGACCCCCGGCCTTTTAAGAGCCTTAATGGATGTTGGGCTTTTATATGGTAACCATTAATTCTAAAAAAAAAAATAGGTTTTTTAATATTTTTGTTACATATTTGAATATTCACTTGTTTTTCCTTTTCTTTTTTATTAACTTGGATATCCAATCCGCTATGCGAACCGACAAATCCCAAGACGACCACCTGCTTTGCAGATAACCCGGAGTCACCGCATTTGAACCTCCGTGACCACAAGGGGATTTTTATTCCTCCTTGGATTTGAACATGAGACCTTCTGGTACTTTTGACCTTTGGAGCCAAGCTCAAACCAATCAAACACTACCCTTGTGGTTAATATTCACTTGTTTTATTCTTTAAATTCATAATCATCTTGAAATTTTGTTCTAATTTGAACTTGTTTAATAATATAAATACATAAATATTTTTATATTGTAGTTAACTTTTTTTAGTTGTTTGCTCCTTTTTGTGTTGTGTGGTTGTTGTTGTTTGGTTTTTAAGTTTGTTTTGCTTGGGATTCGTTGTTTTTCTGTACCTTGTAGATAGGGATGGAGGGACGGGTGATGTATCTCCCGTCCCTGACCGCCTTTTAAGCCCCATGTCCCTAATCAGGGTCGAATTATTTGAGGCGGCGGTTAATACCATCCCTGACCTTGTTTCAATATGAATGTTAATCCTCGTCCCCGTTTCATACCAGTCAAATCGGGAAATCCCTATCTAAATGACAACCGAAAAGATATTAGTTATTCAAAATAAGTGTGGTGGGACCTACACAAGACCAAAATGGGAACCAAATGAGTTCATAGGTAGATATGTTACACACGTAGATGTAGATTAGAGATGGCAATTTAATTTTCCTTATCAAACAATCAATATGCAACTTAGTTAGAGCTCATTCAATTCTCCACCTCTTAATTTGGCCAAAAATAATTATCAACCCCCCCACCCCACCACCACCGCAAAAATCTCTTGCACCACGTAACGTTCATTATCTGTATCGTTCATTTTCTTTTTGAACCTTGTATTGATCATATTCCAATCTCGACAAGTTTTAAATTTCGGTATTGTCTATCAGGTATTTTTGCAATCAAAATGCAGTTCAGTATCTATTTGGCTTATTTGATCTGTTTGGGTGTTCGTTAATCAGTCGACTCAAACGGATATGTTTGGCTTGATCGATGGTTTTCACAATCGTTTATCTTTACCTTCTTTTGAAAGATATTTTTTTAAATGAATGGAAGATTTTGCAGGTCAATTTACTTCATATATTTGTTGTTGAAAGCATCCATTTGTATGAAAAGTCTTAAATGATGGTGAAAGACCGAACTATTTGCCCCCATTTAATAGTTCGGTCAAATTGTACCCTTTTGGTTTAATAGTGGTAGTTCAGTTGTTTCAACTAGGTTGGCTACTCAAACTAAACAGGGGTAATATGGATTAGACTGGTATGTTTGAAAGCAGTTTACAAAACCAATCCAGCTAGTGTAGTTTGGAGAATTTTCAACATATCACAAAATGTTTTAGCATAAGCCTACGTACGAGTTTCGTTGGTCTGGGTTGTGACACTTGAGATTTGTTCTTGGAATATATCTGAACATAAAATGACATACTATTTCCACTTGTGTTAGTAACATATGCCACTGATTAACTTACTTACATGACCCTGTTTGACCAGTTGTTTCAAGAGCACATCCACATTCATCGATTTACATCTTCAATATCTAGCAAAGAAACTGAAACCACAGCTTTAATATGTGGAAAGTAGGAACATATTGTTGAGGCATGATTAGGTTTACTGGGTTCTGTTTAGATGAGTTTGGCCCATTTCCAACCAAATCTTTACGGTGTGAAGATTGTACAACTCAATTATGCATAAGTGGCTTTAAGTTGGGTTATTTATGGTTTTTGTGCACCCCCAAAACTGAACTATGCACACCCTTTATGGTGTTGAGTGAGGTCTAGGTAATAAAATACAGTCTCGTTATCAAGGTTCACACATAGCGGAATTGTTCTCTCTTTGATTCACATATGATTAAACGATGAAAAAAGACGTTCATGCTGAATTCAAAGTCTTGATAATAGAATGTAGGTACACGACATGACTATAATTGAAGCGAAACTCTCTTGATGGGTTTGGTGACGTGATTTTTTGGCCCGCAAAGTGTTCCAAAATGTATACCGGTATCGAAGAACATTAACGGAAGAAATAAGCATTTAAAGGAAGTATTGAAGAACCTCCATGGATGAAGTTGTTACTAACATTTAGATCCATCAAACACAAACACAATATATGGGCACCTAATTAGAGTGAAATTATCCCCTCTTTTTAATTTGGGGCAAAAAAGCTTTTAGAATTAATTATATTTTAAACCATCGTATTTAATGAAAATACGTTTTGTATATATGGTGTCGATTTTAAACACGCAGATTTATACGATTCATAACATACAGTAAGACCATCATGAAATATGGTAATATCACGTTTAATCTGGGTGTCCAAGGATGGTTGGACGTCCTAGAAAATACCCATTTTATCGTAGTGAATTTAATGAAATTGGTGACGTATTTTCTATTAAATCGATAACGAAAAACTACAAACTGATGATGGAATTGATGATCTAATTGGTATTAAAAACTGATGATGGAGTTGATAAGCAGTAACTAGGTAAAAGGGGGGTATGGATAAAATGTTCAAGCTAGGTAAGTACCGACTGAAAATGGTAAGCATTTACTGATAAGATAACTTTATCCTATGTGCTCAGGGACAGACCTACTAACATAGTAGGGGGTTCACGGGATCCTGCTCGATCGTCCCATCGTAGTTGGAATTCTTTTACTAGACGTAGTTGTGCACCAAATAAGTCTTTTCAAAATAGATTTTTTTTTAAAACGAAATAAGAGATCCATACATCAAATAGTAAATAAGAAAAAAAAATCTAGACGAATTATACACTAGCTAGTAATTATATTAATTCATCCGTTTTCTTGATTTGGATGAAATTATCGAACAAATTCAATTTTTTTACTGCTAATCTTAATTTTGAGTCGAAAACTTTTAACTTGTTCCTTCCAAGAAAACAGACAACAAGAAAGCACGATTTACGATATAACACCAAACACTACCAAGCCGAATGCTTGATGGTAACACCACTTTTAACTGGTTTTTGCGGTCTTCCAAATATGCTCGAGTTCTCTAGCGAATGTTTGTTGACGCCCGACAACAATGGTGATATGATCTTTCTTCTCGACAACCTTAACGTTTGCCCGTGGAACTTTTGCCTTGATGTTGTCACAACACTCGACAGGAATAAGCTCATCGTCTCGACCGTGAAACACGTTTATGCTACAATTCAAGTTGTTTTGAACAACGTTTAAGTACCCTTCTATCTTTCCAGCAGTCCCACAAATAACGTTGTGAAGGGTATGCCAGGCGGCATTGTGCGTGTGACAACAGAAGCCATCTATTAAATAAGTCCGAATCCTGTATAAAAATCAAATAGATGATCATGATTTGATCATTTTCGTGTTCTCTTATTTGTTAATGTTCTCATTTGAATCGCCCATCTCTCGTTCTACATACCGCAACTTACGGCACCCAAAAGATATGTTGCAGGATGCAGTTTATGGCACCGCAAGAAAAAGTGTCTTGTAACGTTAACTTATAATTTCTTGACTGTTCTGACCAAGAAAAGTGTCTTCTTTACTCCGGTTTGCAATTCAACATTTTTTTTTCTTTTTGGACAAAAAGTTGATTACCAACAATCTCAACCGGTCCCACACTGAACCAACCTCCAAAGACACAAATATAAGTGACATTTTTGGCTCACTCAACGACTGACGGCTGATGAAAGGACCCGTGATCGAACTCAACTGGGCTATAGCAGTACTCTATAAAATCCTCATAAATGTTTCCATAAAAACAAAGCATCATTAATTAAGTCCAACCGAATTAAACAACTAGCATTTATGCTTGTGACTTGCTTTAATAGTGTATCTAAAGTCAACCATTTGGAGCTAATGAATAAGTCAAATTAAAGACCTCATTGATGTTATCGTTTCCCCCAACAATCTACCGTTTCATTAAATACCCTCGTTTCAACATCAAAACTTGTTAAATTTGTAAAAAAACCATGTTTTATAACTGGTATTTTATTTTTTAAACAACTGGTATTAAAAATCCTTCGAAATTATAAGATAAATATCTGAATTTTTGCATTCTGGTCTTAAAATGGGTTCTTATGAAATGCGTAAAAACGTAAGTGAAAATATAAACTTTTACGACTTGTTTGAATTTTGAAAGCGTAGAGATGATTAACCGTTACTTTAGAAATGCATTTATGAGTCCAAGATGCGTCTTGTGATACGTATGAAGATTTTAATTTATTTATTTTTTATGATAATAATTATTTAATTAAGAAATATTTGATATTAAATTATAATTAAAAAAATATTCAAAAACTGTTCTGATTGGTTTCATATTAAATTCTGTATGAATAAAACTGTCTGATTAAACTGTTAACAGAGACACTTTTAATTATAGTTTTATTATTATTTAATTAAAATGTATTTTTTATATGTAGAAATTTTATTTTAGCACGGTTTAAATTAAAGTTTTATTATATATTTTTTTCAAAAAATTAAATAAAGGACTAAAAGGATTTGGTAACGACGATGAATAACTCCGACGGAGCTGTCATCATAAATCTAAAATTCGGTGCATTGAAACGGTGGCGTTGACCGGAAAATAAAGAAACGTGTTTAAATTTTCACCTGTTTCTGGTGATGAGTTTGGCAAGAAACTCCCACGTACGGTGGTGCTTACAGATCAACAAGCAAATCGTCCGGCTAACATGCTCGTACCAGCAAGCCATCGACGCTCCGAACGCGATCAACGGCCACAAACGCCGTGGCGCCACCTTTCTCATCATATACTGCGCCGCCTCCTCCCCTTTCGGCGTTGGAAAAAATGGCTGCCATTGCCATTGTCATTGTCATCCATACGAAGATATTGAAAAAAACTTTTTGTGCAGTTTTCCGGCGAAAAGAAATGGTTACTTACCGGCGCGAGTAAGGTGAGCGACTTGACGGAATTGGGGTATTTCACGGCGAGTGCCAGTGCTAGAATGCAGCCTAAAGAATGAGCGACGATGTGAAACGATTCGATCTTGTTGGGTTCGAGAACCGATCTTTCGATCATGTCTAAATGCTCCTTCATCGTGTAAAGCGAATCGTGTGGCTTCGGGCTTTTTCCGAACCCTAAAAGATCGATCGCGAATAACCGGTATTTCGACTTTATCGATCTTGAGAAGTTCGGAAACAATGTCTCCGTCCAAAATGCTGATGACGATATAAACCCGTGAATGAACAACACATTCTCGGTAACATTATCTGCAAACAAAAAGATCATTCAAAAATGAATTAAACGGTCGTTAAATGAAAGTAAAAATAAAAGAAACTGTTTGGTTTTAAACAATATAATGGTCCGTGACCCAAAATTTTCATATTTTCATTTCGGGTTAAACTGAGTTAAGTTTACCAACCTTTACGGCCTTCGGTATGGACGAAAAGGGTATCTTTACAAGAGTTCGACCACGAGTTACAAGTATCGCAATCGCAATCGGACCACCGTGGAACCGGGTGCGACTTATGGGCACTGATCTTTTCTTGTAGCAATTCCACCAGTGTGTTGTTCACCACGAACGGGGACGACTGGACGCGTTGGACGGTGGCGGAATTCGTAGAGTTAACCACCTTCCGACGTTTCACGGTGGTTTTCGACACCTCCAACACCACTGACGGGCGTGTGTAAAGCGTATCCGATATCTCTTCAAGCTGTAACTTGGCAGACGTCAAACAAACAATCTTCTCCGCCTCCCCGTTCTCCGACACCAAAATGTTGCCGCTGCTAATGATCGCCTGTTTCGGTGAAGAACAATAGCACGGCTTCCATTCGGCTTCCACGAAGAAATCGATCGTCTTATACACATAACACAAGATCAAATCAAGAACATCGAGCACAGAAAACACAAGAAAACTCAAGAAATCATTGATGAACTTCCCAGTTAGGCCAAGAACAGATCTTGTCGTCTTCCCCATCGAACCCAAATGGCAGACGAAATCAAACCTCCAATTCTCCACCACCCACATGAATTTATAGAAAGATTATGGGAATTCAAGGGCGAGAGTTACGAAATTCTAAAAAAGATTGGAAATGTGAGCATCAACGCCAGTTCTTTGTCTGTGAGCTTGTGGTAAAAAAAATGGCAGCTAGCAACGAATCAAGAAAAACCCAATGGCAAAATTGGATCTAATCGAAGTTCGATTGAAGCTAAGCCTGAAACTGGGTGATGGAGGTTGGGTTACTAATTCTGAGGAAGTGGAATAATATTATATATACATATAATCCTCTGTGTGTGTGCATATATATATATATATATATATGTATGTATATGTAGAGTTTGTTGTACAACCAACCAATCCGACCCAATATATTGAGATATTTGTGGAAATGATGAGAGTTTATTTATTATGATTTGAATATTTATGGAAGATGAATATGGTTCATTAATTATGATTGATACCTTATATTAGTAAACAATAAAAAAATTTATGAAATCACATATTGATCAAATAAAATGAACGGTTGAAATTAGGTTGTATTGGTTGTATAAATGTCAATGGTTGTATAATAACCAACCTCTGTATATGTATATATATGTCTATATATATATATATATATATATATATATATATATATATATATATATACGAGCCAACTGGCTAGAGTCATGCACGAGTTTTATTATGACGAAAGCGTGTGAATTTGCCATTGTGTTATGGAGAAAATTTGAAAGCATTAATTAGAAGAAAAGGGGAAAATGTTGGTGGTGGTTGAACCGTCGAGTGACTTCCCACGTTACAATTTTCCTCTCTATATTTAACAAACCGGATCCATATATGAGATCGAAATGGACCGGTTAACGGTTGAAAATTAATCGAAGGAATTCGAAATAAAGAAAATCGGTTTTCATCGTATGTAACGGTGTTTGGCATGGATCGTCGTGGATTAAAGGGGGCGTTGGTATGTCGACCGGATGAAAACGGGTTAGATACGACTGAACAAGACTAAATGTTTTTTTTGGTGTTTGGTATGATTAGGACCGTATTTGAGAAGTTATATGTATAATGTTTATTGTAGTTGATAGTGAATGAGAAAAATGTTTAAATAACCGTAGTGCCCGTCAAATGATGTGTGACGTTTTTTTATATGATTATAGTAGTTATAAATGATACGAATCAATTAAAAGTTAGATATTTTTTGTTATAAATATACTATTTGGAAAAGCTTAGAAAACTCAACCAACATTTCCATTTTGAAATGGCTAGAAGGGGTACTCGTGCAATGCAACAAAATACATCTCGATTTGAATGTTTCGTTTTATTTTGTCCCCTTGTCGATGTTATAATATGGTTTTATGTGGTTTTGAGGAAAACGATAATATTTTTATTTTTGAATAAAATATAAATTTTATTATAATTTAGTTTAGGTTTAATAAAAAGTAATTTATTTTTTGTTTAATAATATATTTTTTATAATGATAATAATTAAGTATTCTGTTAGAAGACAATGATTATCCTAATTATATTTTTAGATTTTTTATATTTAAAATGAAATGTTTATCTAGTATTTGATTATGTTTATCTGTAGTTAGTTACACGAATTMAAGTATGGAGCTTCAATAAGTTGTACTTATGCATTATTTACTTATAATCTTGAATTTTAAGTAATATGTATCAATAAACAGTACTTCATGTATAAAAAATGGTTTTTAAGAGTTTTTGTCAAATGTTTTATAATATAGTATAGATTAAGTCCTTAAAGTATTTTTTTAATGAAAAAACCATTGAGTTTTCTTGTTTTAAATGATTAAGCCCCTGAAAAAAAATTTAGATAAATAAATTATCGAACTTTTAAAATTGGTTATTTACATTCTTTTAACTAAAATAAACTACATATACGTTACTGGCTAAGAATGCTTTAAAATAAAAAACCTAAATCATATTAACCGTTTCCAAAACCTACGACATTCAAACCCTTCGCACACAATGATATCGTCCCCCCTCTCCCATCCTTGTTGCCCGAGCCATCGTTGTTTGTTCTCCATACCGCTCCTAGTAGTTGGTCTGTGTCATCGAGTTCCCTCTTTTTGATTTGTTTTTTGTCTTTTGATTCTATCTCTTTTATAACAATTTAGTGGAGCACGAATAGACATTAAAAATATGGAGAATTGAAAAAAATAAAAAAATAAAGAGGGAGATAGATGGCAGGGGACCAACGACAGTGATAGAAAGGAGATGACAATGAGACAACAAGGGGTTTGAATAACGTAGGGCTTGGGAATGATAAATTGATTTAGGTTTTTTTTTTACTTTAAAACATTTCTAATCAGTTTTAGGTAGTTGTTTTAGTTAAAAGATGTAGGTATCTAATTTTTAAAACTTATTTATTAAAAAAAAATTCAAAAACTTAATTATTTAAAATATAAAAATTAGTTTCATTTATAATTTTTATAGTAAATTTATCAAAATTCCTACATTTTATTTTTATAGTAAATTCATCAAAATTCCTTTTATAGTAAATCAACCAAACTGAAATATAAGGACCGTCAAATCATATGTGATTTTGATTTATATGATTTTATAATAAATTACATGTGATTTGGTTTTTTTTCATATTACTTATAAGTTGTCATATTCTCTTTTGATCCTCCTTCTATATGTATGTAGGGGCAAGTTCAGTTGTGAATCTAAGTTCCATTGTGAACCGGGGAACAAACGAGAGTGCGTCTCGTGTCAGAGACATTCACGGGATTTTCATCACGAAAGGTGTAAACATTTATCATGAATGCTGTAAAAAAAAAACGTATGTTCATTATTCATGATGAATGAGGACACGCATCGCGCTCTCATTTATCCCCTAGTTCATAATGGAAGTTAGGTTTGAAAACAAACTTTCCCCTCTCTCTTTCTATATATATATATACATATATATATATATATACATATATATATATATATATATATATACATATATATATATATATATATTGCAAATCATATAAAACCCGTCTAAAAGCTAGAAACCGTGAAACAATTTCATGTATTGTTTGTCGACGAAACAACACAAGTGAAACCAAACCTGTGAAAATCAACCTGTGAAAATCAACCAAAACCATTAAATGAGTTTGATTTTAAGTTATGCTTCATATTGTTTCACATGTTTTATTTTTGTGTGCAAGTATAAGTGTCTGTTTCATGTATAAACGTATTTTTGTGTTTTTTTCACAATCAAAACATTCACGTTTCATATATAAAACAATACATACAATATATATGATTTTCACAGTCTCTATATGATTTGCCTCTATATATATGTATATGTTATGTGTGTGTGTGTATATATGTAGAAAAATAATCCAGAGAGAACCCTTAAAAAATAACCAAAGAACTTATCCAAACCGTTATAATGAAATGATTTAACCGATGAGATTTTTTAAAAAGAAAATTTATACTTCAGTCTGTTACCAATTGCCCCTTAAAAAGTGAGCACCCTGAATTACCCGAAAACCGATTTAACCACTCGAATTGATAACAGCCATACAAATGAAAAATATTGTATTTTGTATTCAAATCATATAATGTTTTTTGTAAGATGATTATAATAACGGTAACAGGAAGATTATATATGACTTCTAAAATATGATTTTCAAACAAAGAAGTATGATATTTGTTTTTAGGGAAATTAATTAAAATAGCCATTTTTAGATTTTGAATTCATCTTTTAGTGATTTATCTCCTAATATTTCAAAAATATCACTACTTTCGCAAATAACAACTCCTCAACTTACAAAAGGGTCAAAATGTAAAAAAAAAAAAACAAGTTTCTAAACGAAAACGTGTGCTGCATGAAATCCTGGGGCTTTGCAACTAGCAAATTCACTGCGAACAAAGAGTAGTCGTATAAAACCTTTAAGGACAAGTTTTAACGTGTATTCTAAGTTCAAAGAAATCCACATTAGCAACAATAACCGACTAATGTTTATATTACTTACCGAGTCGCTTAAATGCTTTGTATTCCACAAACGATTTGAAGATTAAAGCTATTATTCGAGAACCCTCAAACGTTGCTTTCGATATATCAAAAGTTTGTGCCGTCTATTTAATAATCGATGGTGGTTGTGATCATGTAATCGATCCTCACATTTTATATTACTAATAAATTGTTCGATCAAATCACTTTATTTACAATTCGATGAACGTAAAAAAGATGTTCACAAAGATTCTAAGTTTTCTAATCATAATAATTGACTTATTTGTAAAAATACAGATATTTACACATTATACGAGCTATATTTTTGGACCACCTTCCCAAGGTTAACGAGTACATATTTGTGCAATACCGATAGAACCCAAGAGTAGAGATAGAGAGAAAAAACAAGTCATTAAAACATAAAAGATAAACGATTGCTTATGTTGTACTCAAAAGCTAGCTTGGGTGGAAATAAATTAGTCTATAATCTAGCTTATTAAAACGCTACTTGGAGTAGCGTTTTGGTAGCTTATTGTCAATTTCTCTATTTATAACTCTCATCAATATTAATTATTATTTATTACTATTATTATAAATAAATATTAATTATTAATGAATTTTATTAAAAATTAATAATAATTATCTATACTATATTATAAAGCATTTGCCTAAAACTCTTAAAAACTCTTAAACCCTTCCCATATCTGAATTCGTGTAACTAACTGCAGATAAACACAATCAAATACAGGATAAACATCTCATTTTAAATATAAAAAATCTAAAATATAATTAGT